AACCTAACTTTATATCAACTGTTTGAAAACTGTCAGCCTCTCAAGTAAATCAGACAGGAAATATAATAAGGTGAGCTATTTCTCCTTTTTTATATATATAAGGCAGGGGTGGGTTTCAACCGGTTCGCAGGGACCGCTGCGAACCGGTTGAAACCCACCCCTGCCTTATATATATAAAAAAGGAGAAATAGCTCACCTTATTATATTTCCTGTCTGATTTACTTGAGAGGCTGACAGTTTTCAAACAGTTGATATAAAGTTAGGTTGAGGGATATCCTTTCTTTTCCATTTCTCACAAGGGTCCGTATGCTTCTTCTAGATGTCCCAAAGGTTCCTTTTCAGGAGGCAATTGGACTTTCTGGTTTTTCTTTTAATATGTTTCACTTCTCAATCAAGAAGCTTCTTCAGCTGAGATGAAAAGCGAGAAGTCCAGTTGCCTCTTGAAAAAGCACCTTTGGGACAACCATGATATGGATGACTGAGAATCTCCACAGACACTTTTCTTCTAGATGTTCTTCTTAGCTAACAAACAATCTCTATCAACAAGCTGGGGATGGTTTAATCATATGATGCCTCCCGTTTGAAGGGCAAATAATAGAGTGGGACAGAGATTGGAATCATTGCAAATACATAGCTACATTGAAGTGTAAGCATTAATATTTAATAAATCAAATGGACACCCCACCATTTAAATATTTGTATGTAGGCTGCAGTAGCTTGTTCAAAGACTGAAGTTGCCCTTGGATCATTAAAAGTTGTGCCTGGCTGCCTTCAAGGGGACTTTGGAGCAGCCAGGAGCTTCATGTTGGATGGCAGCCAATGCTCTGAAAAAGGGCAACGTACACTTGGTGCTTGATCATAGTATCTCCCAACTTGATCAAAGTTGGGAAGGGCAGTAACACACGTTTAAAAAAAAATCAGTTGCATTACTTAATGTTTTATATTGTTCCCATGAGGATAACAAGTAAACCTGTTAGGGCAAAAATATCTCTTAGACTTATAGACCATACTGGTTGGAAATTCTGGGAGTTACAGACCACGAATGTCTGAAAGGTGCTATAGATGTCTGCTACAAAATCCCTTGCATAAACTGCCTTGGTATTAGAAATCTTAGTTGAGTACGTTGACAAGAAAACCCATTGGGCATGTCCATGTAGCTTCTAGGGCTCAAGACAAACTTATAAAGCTTAAGCAACAGAGTTGTTCTGTACAAATTGTTCTTGTACAAAGGATCTCAAGCTTAGATACCATCCTAAGAAATCCATCACCAGCCTGGATAGAAGCCAGGGTAGGAAGATCATAAGACTACTTGAATAGTGCGTTTTCTCTGGTCTTAGACACCACTAGAGGGAGCCAGGGCTTAAAATTTCAGTTTCTCAACACAGTACCAGATTTCAGTCCCTAATTCCTACACCATTATTACCGTAATGTTGTTGAATAAGCTAACAATTTTGATAATGTGTTCACATATCCACGAGGACTACTTTTTCATAGCCTTAAAGATGGCACAAGTCTCAGGAGCTTGGAGCTTGGATTTGGGAGATCAAGGACTTCTTCTTTTTGTAGATAGGCAGAGCTGAAACTCAGCAGTGGAGGCCATTTTTATTGGTCATGCTCTTCCCGTTTTGACAGTTGGGGAAAGAATTGTCATCGAACAAAGACATGAGTGAATACTTTCTTCCAAATGATTCTAAAAGTAATTCTTTGCATCAGAGGAAGGTGACACCAAGGGGCCATTCAGTATATCCTTGAGCTGGCCTTGGTGTTTCTGCTGTCAAATTTGCTTAATCTCTAGCCTTAAACTAATAATGAAGATGCAATGGCTGGAACAGAATAACTCTTTATTAACTCAGTAACACTTTCACCAAATGAGAATGACAGTAGCCCGCCTGACAGTTATTTATACCATAGCCAATCAGAGGGCTGCAATTCTTCCACCAGCTGGCAGGCATGTCGCAAACATGGCGTGTTCAGTGCGGGCCGTTCTCTGCTAATTGCTACAAATGGGTGGCGAGGCGGCGATAGGTGGCAGTGGCAATCCCCACCGCCACAATATCCTCTCTATAAGATGCACAGACATTTCCACCCACTTTTTTTGGGGGGGGGGGTTGCGTCTTCTAGTCCAAAAAATATGGTAATTGGATTACAGGATCCTTGTTGGAAAATCCCAAGGAAGGATTTGAAGGCATGTGATAGAGCAATTTTGCTGAGACTAGCAGGACTAGATTCAGCCGTTATTTGACTAGGAGACTGCCTGGGACATGGACTCTTTAACAGAAAGACTGAATGTTACTACGCAATAAAAGAGTTCCTCATATATTCCTCAGGCTTGAAATTTAAGCCTGGATAATCTTGAATTACACCGTCTACATTCCGATCTGAGCTTAGTGCACAAGATAATCTGCCATAACGTCCTACCAGTTAATGACTACTTTCACTTCAACTGCAATAGCACAAGGGCTTGGAAAAAACAATTTCAGCATTAGAATAGTAAATGTGTGGAACACCCTACCCGATCCTGTTGTTAGTTCCTCTAACCCTCATACCTTTTACCTTAAGCTGTCTACCGTGGACCTTATGCATTTCTTAAGAGGTCCCTAAGTGGGTGTTCATAAACGCACCAGCGTGCTTACCATCCTTGTCCTACTGTCCCA